CTGGAGGGATCCTCGGAGAAAAAGATAAGAATCATCATCAAAGAATAAGTGGGAGATTCTTAAAGCCCGAGGAGCCACCTTAACCCCTTCCAGCCTTCCTTCCGAAATTGCTTTCGGAATCAAGGCTGCAAACCCCTCCGTGCAAATCACAAAGAGAAGAGTGGAGAGAGGATCCCCTTGACGGAGCCCCCTAGAGGGGTAAAAAAAGCCGGATGGGGTGCCATTCATGAGGACCGAAAAAGTTACAGATTGAAGACATTCTTGAATCCATCCTCTCCAGACAAAGTTAAATCCCATCTTATCCAACACCGCAAGAAGGAATACCCATTCGACTCTATCATAGGCATTTTCCATGTCAACCTTCAGAGCCATGTATCCCTTCTTACCGCTGGTCTTGATCTTAAAGTAATGCATTAACTCATGTCCTAGGAGGATATTTTCATCAATCTGCCTTTCACGGATAAAGGCATTCTGCCCTTCCAAGATGATTTGGGGCAGTAGGCCAGCAAGCCTCTCAGCCATAATTTTAGTGATCACCTTATACACAAACTGGCATAGACTGGTGGGTCTGAGTTGACGCATAGTCTCCGCCTGATCCACTTTTGGGATCAAAGTTAGCCAGGTGTGATTAAAGCTAAGAATCATTCTACTTGTTGCAAAGAACGAGCAGACATCTTCTATCACAGAGTCACCGACAATACCCCGAAGGCTTTGAAGAAATTCCCCGTGAACCCATCAGAACCTGGAGCCTGCTTAGAGCCCATAGAAAAGACCGTCTTACAGACTTCGCAAGGGAGGACCTCAGCCGTCAGATTATGTTCATTTCTGGAGTAACACTGGGAGCTATGGAGAGATCCGCCACCGGCTCCATCATGTTCTGCACCTGGTTTTTTTAGGTGAAAAGAGCTTGATAGAAATTGGTGGCAATGTTAGCATTCCCATGTTCCTCAGTAACCCATTCACTGTCATCATTGCGAAGGCCAGAGATTCTACAGGCCCTCGTCACCGTATGAAAATAAGACGTGTTCTTGTCCCCCTTTTTCAACCATCGGACGCGAGATTTCCGCTGCCAATAGCTTTCCTCTGCCTCCCACTGTCTATTCAACTCAGCCTCCAGGCCCTTTACCTCATCTCAATTGATCGGATGGATAAACTTGATATGATCAATCTCAGCCTGCAAGGTGTGGATATTATGCAGGGAGTTAGTAGTACCCGCTCTGCTCCAATCATAGAGCAGATGATGAAGTTTCTTCAGTCTCTCACAGCTGGAACATTGGCTTCTCATGGATTGTCTGAACCTGTGTTTGTAAAACCTGATAACTAACATGATATTCTGAACAAATTCACTGCATATTCAATTTGATGCATTGTTAATAGAATAAAAAAGCTATACATTCAATTCGATATTCTGGGACAAACTAAAAACCTACTGATTTTATTTTCTTGTTCAACACATCCGCAAACCCCAAAGAAAGATTATTCTTGATTTCCCTCTCTCTAACCTCTTCCAAAATCCAAGTATCCAGCTGTTGATTCAGTTTCTTGGTTTTTATGTCTCCTTTCGGTTCATTTCACATTCTGAAATCTATTTAGTATTTAAAATAATAATACTAATAAATTGTTTCGATGATGACATTATCTTGAGAGGAGCCGTCTCAAAGTGGCCGAGTCATTGTTCCCCTCGTTATAACATGTAAATTATGATAAATGGCTTTCTTTGGCACATGATGTCTTGTCCTTGTATGCTTTGTTGCCGGTTGTTTACTTTGCAACAAGATGCCTGCCTGAAAAGATGGAAACCAGAAAGAGAACAGAGAGATTTTCCCTCTGTATTTTAATGGTATAGCAAACATAGTAATCAGCTACATTGTGAAAGAGTTGGATACGATTCTTACATCTCTCAACTCTGGATGATCGCGTTACTTCGCTAAAGTTCTCTAACAAAAAGCTAAATAAGTGTTGGGATAATCTCCTTTCAGAACAAAATAGATAAATCTGATGAAGTAATAACCAATCACACAAGGTAATTCATTTATATGATTTTCACGTTTGGTATGGACTGAATTAGTCCACAAAATCTTTCAAAAAATTAGTCCACAAAGAGATGCCTCTCTCAATTTAATTATATATAATATATAGTACAAAATTCTATTATTTTGTAGTAGGTTATAAGTACAATATATTACTCTATATGTATTTTTATCAAACATTCCCTTTATTATTTTTTTTTATATCAAACATATCCTTGTATTTTAGAAAGATTATCAAACATGCTATTCTGGCAAAATTTTCATTCAAAAACCATAAACCATGGTTGAACTATGGTTCATAAAACTTGGTCTCTCTGCAAAATGGAAGAGAAAATATCAGTTTTACTCTCTATTTATTTCTAAGTCTTATTAAAGTAAAATTATTAGAGGTATTGAGCTATACAAAAGAAACCTGATAATGTTATAGTGAAACTATTAGGCGTATTTTAGAAATTTATGTCACCCAAATCATGGTGCGACCATGGTTGACGGTTTTGTCATGGAACACTTAACATAAGGGCATGTTTGATAATATTTTCAAATCCAGGGGTTTGTTTGATGTGAAAAATAGGGTAATGTCTATTTTATATCTAAATATTTTTCAGATTCTTTTATATTATCAAACCTATTAAAATTTTATTAATTAGCCAAATCTTTCATAATGCATCAAAATATTAGCCATTTTACGTTATCGTTAATAATTTTGTAACTCTTTTCTTCTTTAAAATATTAAAATTTTGGAATGTTGATCTTCATGTGTCTTTTCCCAATCAATATCATGTTGCTAAGTCAATATTACTAACAAAATTGCTAACTGAAAGTTAACATTTTGCTAATTCTTAGTATTTTGATAGGTTTAGATAATTTAAAAGAATATGAAAATGGTTTGGATAAAAAATAAACATTACCCTAAAAAATAGTAGATGGTATGTTTTTTTTATATGGGTGATATATTTTACATTTTTTCTTATTAAGGTACTAATTAAGATATTCGAACCTGGGACCTCCAAGTTCTAGACTAGTGGTATTACCACTAGGTCAAGTCTTTATTCGTAGTAGATGGATATATTTGATAAAAATACATAGTAGATGGGCATTTTATACCTATAATCTTATAAGAATGGTTGAGATTAGAGAAGATGTAATCTAATGTTTATCACTAAAGAGGGATAATGAGGGAAAGTAGAAGTTTTTGGGATAGTTTGGCAAATTTTTTTGGGACCAGGGCATCTCTCTAGGTGACAACTAATGCACTCTTCAATTCTACTATGAATTTTCAACATAAGATATCTCATTCATTTTGCATCATATTTCAAAAACTTTAGCGTATAATTTTTTTTCCTGCTCCACAAGATTATATCAATTTTGATATTTTTGGATAAAAAATTTTCACACCATCCTAATACTGTCATAACATGATATTAATATCATGATATGACAGTGATATGGTGGTGTTGTCAGTTTGAGCTCAATGGTAAAATAATGGTATGAAGTAGTACAATAGTATTATGAAGTCTTACCATAGTTGTATGATGTTGGTATGATAGTGGTAAGATAATATGAAGTCTTTGTTAATAAGGGTGATGTTTACTCTTTTATGGTTAGGTACTACTTAAGATATTGAAACTTAGGATCTCCAGGTACAAGATTAGTGGTATTACCACTAGATCAAGTCATTGTTCATAAGATAATATGAAGTCTTATCTTTGAGGGAAAAAATTGATGTCATCATAACACTATCATATTATCATTGTGATAATATCATGAAATGACAATGATATGATACTAGTATATGCGTTACTATAGTGCTAAGATGATTTTGTGAAGTATAGTGATATTATGTTGATATGATAGTGATAAGATATAAAAAAAATTTATCTTCGAGGGGAAAAATTGATGTCATCATACCATTATCATATCATGATATTATCATGTTGATAATATAATGATATGGCACTGATACGATCGTATTATTGTTTGCCTTCCTACCATAGTGGAAAGATCATGATATGACACTTATACGATGACATCAAACACGTGTTTTTAATGGATAATTCTTCTTTTCTTAAAACATAACAAAATGGATATCATTGTGTAGACTATAATTAACGAGTTCTTCACAGCTCGGAGAGACTACTCGGTCTCTCGAAGAATTTGGGAAAAGGTTGTTCCGCCACTACAGCATCACAACTTCTTCACAGCTCATCATGACGAGTGGTTCCGAATGAATTTGGAAGGGGCTGGTATTTTCGAGGATCAGGAACAGTGGGCAAGTCACTTCTCCCTTCTAAACTGGTACATTTGGAAGTATAGGACCGAGTTCATTTTTCAGGGAAAGAGGCTTGCGGAATCCACGCTGATCAACTACGTCACGACGAAAGCTAAAGACTGGTTGCAGACGTGGGATAGAGCGTGTGTGAGTTTAGCTACCTAATGAAAGTCCCCAACGAGAGGAACACCTTATTAGCTAGACCTTGTCACCGAGAGGCTGGAGAAAGATGAATACCGATGGCGCGATGCAGGGTGGAATAGGACTGGCAACAACAGGTGGGGTACTCTGAGAGTGTCACGGTTACTGGCTAAGTGGTTTTTGCTGCAAAATTGGGACGGGTTCGGCCATTCTAGCAGAACTGTGGGGAGCTTATCAAGGACTTAAGCTTGCCTGAAAGCAAGGGACTCAGCTTCTAATCCTAGAGCGGATTCGATGGTGGCTTTGGAGCTAATATAAAATCGTGATGACTCAGCACATCCATACTCAACCATATTAAAGGCTATTCAGAGATTGATATCACAGTTCACACAATTCAGTTCTTTTTGGATATTCCTTTGTAATTCTTCCAGTTTTTTAGGTTTACCCTCTATTAATAATTTTGGAAATCCCATATATATTATGACCTGAATCACGTCGATTCGTTTTTGAATCTCTATACGTGAAATTCCCTCAACACCAGAAAAAAGTTTCATATTTTTTTATACATAATTCTTGATACAGTTTCTTATTTTTTGATCTTCTTCTTCCCCTTCTTCAAACTCCGATTCGTATTTTTCATAGAGAAATCTCTGATCAAGGATAGAACAAGATCCATTTTTCATCATATCTAAGGGACTCCTTGGTTCGGGCCGAAGAAGCAATGTCACTCGATCATTATCAAACTGACTGCAATCTTTTTCTGTCCGTGAGGATCCCACCAGAGCGCCTTCTAGTTCTAATAGGCCATGAACTAGATCAGAATCATTCTCAACAAGCCCATAATAAGTGATCCCATTTTTTATACATATCGGGAAGAGAATAGAGTCGCGGACTGGCTCTCGAAGCACAGTCTCATCTATCCCTTTGGTATGTATAAATTAACGGACGCTCCAACTGATTTGGACAGAATCCTAAGGGAGGACATTATGGGAGTGAGCTTTCCCAGACATATTCCTCAGAACAGAAGTTGATGCTATAGCTGGGAATTGTTTTTAGTTCCTGGAGCTGTTTACTTTGTTTCTTCTGGGTTAATTTTGGTTAGATACCCTTCTGCGAGTTGTGCAAGGGAGTTTAGCTGAGTCTGTACCTCCTTGAATCTTTGACTTATGCCTCTCTTCCAATAAAAAAAAAATTAACGAGTTCTTTTTATGCAATTTTATAAAAATTTCGCGTTAAAAAATTTCATCATCCAAACGAGATGAAATGCTTTGTGGTTAATTTTGTCACTTCTTTTTCAAAGGGACATTATCTTAGAAATTAATTTATAAAAAAACGAAAAATCTTACAAATCAAACGGTCGGATGGCAGATCTTGTTCATGTGTATCCAAGTTACAAAACACATAACTTCCTTGTTGTCATAATCTCAGAGAGCTAGCCACGTAATTTAGAAAACAAATGAAGAAAGAAGGAAGAAAACCAAAAACTGGGATTGTAAGAATAAATATTTTTTATTAATTTTTTTATCTAGAAATTTGTACTCAGAAGAACACGAACCCTTCCATCGACAAAAGATCATTGGTAGGCTCGTATTCACTCCCTACTCGCTGCCGGATCAAAACATCGTCTTCTCGTCCACGTGCCGCCGCCGCCATACCACCATGCCCCATCTGCCGTTGCTTCCGGCCAGACCCGTCGCCGGTAGTTGTCCCCAAAGACCACCCTTCAAAGCTCTCACTAACCTCGGGTGGGCTCCATCCGCCCGGCCTACTTCTCGCCACCCGACGGGCCGCCCTCGGCCCAGGCCCAGGCCCATCTTCGAAATCGCCTACCTTCCTCATCATCGGCAGCTCCCCAAACGTAACCTTACGTGGCGCCTTCCTATTGCTCTCCATCATCGACGTGGACCGATGCCTCCTTTCTGCCGAGGTCGTCGAGTCCGTACTTGCTGACGTGTCGGAAAAATCCGTCTCGGGGGACGGGTCCCACCTGATTCCCCTTTCCCTCTCCCTCTCCCTCCTGCTCATCACTTCCCTCTTGCTCAGCGCCCTTGCCGGCGGCTTCGCCGGCGCCGCCGTGGAGCTCCACATATCCGCCGGTGGCGGAGGAGGAGGAGGACGATGATTCTGCCGCTTCCATATCTCCGCCAGGGGGACCGGAGTGGGGCTGCCGATGCTCCACTGGCCGGATCCGACACGGGACGAAGGCGTCCTGTCGTCGTCGCCGCCGATCTGCGCCTCTTTGCTGAAATTGAAGGCGGCGGCGGTGGTGGTGGTGGTGGCGGTGGAGAGATCGTCGAACACGTGGTCGACTTCGCGGTCGAGGGCGGCGATCTGGTTGTTGCCGACGAAGCCGTAGCGGCCGCCGCCGACCCGCGGATTGGAAGAGGACACGTGTTTCTGGGTGAAGCGGATGGGGTAGAGGATTTCCTCGTGGTGGTCCCGAAGAATGCGGTCCTCTTCTCCCGGCGATGGACGGCGAGGATTGAACGGCGTGGAAGGCGGGCTCATGGCGAGGTGGGACCTGAGGGTGCGAACGGAGGATATTAAGGCGAGGTTGGGCGGCGGGCGGTTGTTGGGGAGGTGGTCGTCGTCGTCTGGCAGGTAGTCCGGCGGGGAATCGTCGTGGGTTTCGCTTCTGTGGCGGCGGTGGCTACTTAGGCAACAGCCCATTGTTTGGGGATGTGGAGTAGTTAGGGGAGAGACTACTGTGGATGTTGATGTTGGTTGACAAAGAGGAAAGGGAATTCGTGTGATAAGGATGGAGTTGTATATATATATATATAAAAAAGTGGGATGCATTTGAAGAAGAGGGTAATTGTTACAGGAGCGCCAGCTGCACGAGATGTTTCTTGTCGTCTTACTTTTAATCCTCTCTTGTTATATAAATATAACGAACATAACAATGACTCAACCATGTCAATTATTAATCCTCCCTCCTCCTTCATTAATATAAGGAGGTTCTCAGGGAGCACCCACCCAATTACGTTTTTTCTGCCTTATGCGCAGAGTTTTTGGGTTTTCCTGTGTGTATGTTTTTGGGTCTAAAACGTTGAAATTTGTCTGAATTTCCATGTTGTACAAAATCAAGGAATTAACTTGTGGAATTGAAAAAAATTCACGTTTGGATAGGGTTTAGTTTTGTGGGAATTGATGGTGTAGAATTTGGAAAAAGAAGTAAGAAAACATGGTAATGTCAAATTACTAGGGGGAGGTGTAGTATTCTCAATTACCATGAATGTGGTAATTGAAGCCAATTTCCATGGTCCAATTTCCATACCATTTTTGCTCTCCCAAACATGGATTTTTAACCCAATTACTGCATTATATGGTAATTGGGTCTAATTACTGCATTACATTTCCACATCCAAACGACCCCTAAATGTTTTCGTAGATACGCTGTGCAATTGGAAATTTGATTTGTTATTGGAAATAGATCTTATATCCATCAAAACAATCAGTTTCATATTCCCGCTTCTACAAACTCTAGATCTAATATAGAAGTGAATTATGAGATGTTGATATTATTATTTGATCTGGCTTTTTTTAAGTGATTTTATATTTTAAAAGTTAAAGTAGGGTCAAACACCTCTAAAATTTCAACTTTTGAAAAGTTAAAAAAATGTTTTTGTATAACATAAAAGCATAAGCTCTTATATGGAGCTTTTGAAGAAAATATAATTCTTACGAATCAGAACCATTGATTTCATTTTGAGATTAAATGAATCTTAACTGTTTGAGTTAGAGATTCAGAGATTAAGGTTCACCTATTAAAGGTTAGGGTATAGTATCATGCCTCAAACTCCAGTTAATTCATGGTGTAATTAACAAAACTCGACAGTCATACGATAAGGTAAGCGTACGCCTGTCGTACGCTAGCATGAATATATGTACATGTATTGTAAGAAAATGATATCTAGACCTTAAATTGATTGTGTTTTTGGGCATGATACTATACCTTGACCATTGGAGTGAACCTTATTTCTTAGTTATCTAAATCATAAACTTTAAAACCCAAAATTGTGCATGTAATTTGTTGCATATATTTTGACGAATCATGATAATCGATGGTTTTTACTAATCAAATTGATCATAATGTATGAGATTTATGAAATTACAACTCATATTTTAATTCTTTAAGGATTATGGTAAGGTGCCATACTACCATACCATGTCCCAAACTCCGGTCAATTTAAAGCCTAGATGTCATTTTAAAGCCTAGATGTCATTTTCTTACTCAAAGAGTACTATACCTTTGATTTTACTTAAGGTACGATGGAACCGTCCATATATATATACATATTATTTTTTGGCTTTTTTATCTTCAAAGAAAAAATTATTTTATGGAGAATCATCCAAACAAGCAAATAGTGCTTCAATAGTTCAATTCGATTGTGAAAAGTGAAATGTGTGTACTGATATATTTTTTTACATAAGTTTATATATCTTATAATTTAAATTGTGTCCATCACATATGTGATTTAGAGGAAAAAAATAGACACAAAGTATAGTTGATTCTTATCCATTTCTACCTGAAGCGTAAAGTAGGTTTTGTGATATTATGAACATCAATAATAACTACTAATTGTTTATAATCTCTAAAAATAGACACAAGGTATAGTTGATTAGTTGATTCTTATCCATTTCAAGAATGCTTAGGTAACGAGTAGATGATAGGCGTAAAAATTATAAGCTAATACTAATCCTATTATAGGGTAATTAATCAAAATGGTCATATATGTTTGGACCAATAACAAAATGGTCACAAACGTTTAAAACATAACAAAAAGGTCACATACATTATATAATATTTAAATTTATAAATACAAAGTAATTTTGTAAAAACAAAATCATCTGGCCAGTGGGCTGATCACTAAAAACATTCACAACTTTTTGAAAAGTAAGAAACAGTAAGGATTTTTTTTTTTTGTTTGTGTGCAAACCTCCAAGGAAAAAAACCAATTTTCACCAAATTCAAACAAATTAGCAATCAAGTTCTAATCAATTACCTCAATCCAAACATGTGATGATATTTCGATCATATCAACGTGCAGGTTATTATCATCAATAAACAAAATGAGATTTACAAGAAATGAAATCAAAGAAAATTTCTTTCAAATTAGAAACAATATCCTTTGTATAGTAGTAAATATGAAATTCGATGTTTGTTGCTGCCAGGGCAATCACAAAAAAGTCCAAATATATAATGTCCATCAATTTGTGAAGGTATGTAGCAAATTGAAGTGTGGCTCTTTAAACATTTTTTTTTTTGATAACGAGGAACACCCTCCACGGTCACCACATAGGGTTGCAAAGGAGAACTCGGTGAAGGCAGCAGACATTTGTATCTTCGAGTGAATTACAAGGTGGCCTAATGTCCTGCACTGCACTCCTGCTGAAAGTCACATCTGGCTTTCAATCGATTTAAATGGCCCGAGGTCGACCTCAATAAGTTTAGCACAAATAACTCGAACTTTTTCCTTCATAGGTCGACCTCAGAAGCATCATAGGTCGACCTCGGCTAAATTGAAACGAGTCTGAAATGGCCCAAATGATTTTGCTATTGAGTGTAAAACAGATCCGGTCGACCTCATAATTAGAAGAGGTCGACCAAAGTTAGTTTCGCACAAATACTTCGTAAGACAATGGCACAACTCGAACTTTTGCCTTCATAGGTCGACCTCAGAAGCATCATAGGTCGACCTCGGCTAAATTGAAACGAGTCTGAAATGGCCCAAATGCTTTTGCTATTGACTATTGAGTGTAAAACAGATCCGGTCGACCTCATAATTAGAAGAGGTCGACCAGAGTTAGTTTCGCACAAATACTTCGTAAGACAATGGCACAACTCGAACTTTTACCTTCATAGGTCAACCTCAGAAGCATC